GCTCTGCAGGAACCCGGAATGGGGCCTTCGGGACACAGCCCTCCTGGAGGACCTGGGACAGGCCAGTGGCCTGCTCCTGGAGGGGCGGCCACTCCGATCGGTGCGGCCGGCCGGAGCCTCAAGTGCTCCTGCCCCGCAGCCCCGGAGGAAAAAAATGCGGCTCGGGCTCTGAGGGTGCGGGGTGGGAGCTGGGGGTGCCCCCGGGGCAGGCCCCAGATGTGTGGCCCCCGCGGCTGCGGAAGTGGGTGGGCCTCGGGGTCCCCTTTCCCAGCTGTTTTGGCCTTTGCTTCGCAACGTGCCCCCCAGCCTCCCCTTAGAAAGTCTGTAGGGGCGTCGGAAAGGCGGTTGCGCAGGACTCGGCCTCCACCCAAGCCTTCCCCTCCTGCAGCATCGCGGCCACCACGCAAGCCCACGGTCTGACCAACGTGAAGGCCCCGCTGCACCTGGACGTGACGTGGGGCTGGGAGCACTGGGGCGGGATCCTGCCGCAGTCGCTGGACCTGTTGCTGTGCATCAACATGACCCACATCAGTCCCCTGTGCTGCACGGAGGTCTGTGGGGGGCCCAGCAAGGGCGTCTGTCCTGGCGCCCCTCACCCTGCATGGGGGCAGCCAGCATGCCAGATTTGCCCCTATCACAGTCGGGGTGAGGGTCTTCGGCCTCAGGCCTTGGGTTCTTTTGGGGGCAGCGCCTCACTGCCGTCCTGTTCCCTACTCCCCAGGGCCTCTTCAGAGCAGCAGGACACCTGCTCAAACCCAGAGCCCTGCTCATCACCTACGGGGTGAGTGGGCCTCTCCAGGGCGGGCCTCCCGCTTGAAGTCCCAGCTGCTCTCTCCTGCCCTACTCAGAGTCCTCCCTCCTTGGCTCCCTGCCCCCCGCCCAGCCACCAGCATGGCCTCCCCTCCACTTCCACTCTGCACCCCTCCCCGGGTCACCTGCCAGCCTCCCTACCGCCTTGCCCACCAGCCTGGCCTTGGCTGACTCCCTCTCGGGGACAGGTAGGGGGTGCCCGTTTCATTCTCCGGACCCCAGCCTGCAAGTCTGTCCCGGGCTCTCTGGGAAACAGCCGACCTTGGTCCAGTGGGCTGTGTCCCCATCCCCGCAGCCCTTTGCCGTCAACGGGAAGATCTCTCCCCAGAGCAACGTGGACTTCGACCTAATGCTCAGATGCAGGTCAGAGCTAGTGGCAGGGGGTCCGGCGCAGGTGGCAGGGGGCTTGGGTGGCAGCCCCCCCAGGCCACGGCTCCATCTCCCCCCGCTCTGCAGGAACCCGGAATGGGGCCTTCGGGACACAGCCCTCCTGGAGGACCTGGGACAGGCCAGTGGCCTGCTCCTGGAGAGGATGGTAGGTCGGGGAGCGGGGGCCCAGGCAGCCTCTCTAGGGGTTGAGGGCCGTTCTCCAGTAAAGCATTTCTCCAGGTGGACATGCCAGCCAACAACAAGTGCCTGATCTTCCGGAAGAACGGAGCCCTTCCTTCACCCACACACCTGCATCCCTGCCGGAGGCCCTGTGGGGCACAAACCCTGCCTCCCTAGGCTGGGCCTTGTGGGTAACAGCCCCACCCAGTCTGCGCTCTCAGCCAGTGGCTGAAAGGCTCAGCCTGCTCAGAATAAAGCATCTCCTGCTGCCGGCTTGCTGGTGTCCGCCCCACCTCCTCCTAGGAGCACCTTGTGAGGGTGGGTGGGAGACGGGGTCTCCTGTGGGGTCAAGGGCTTGGGACGTCCTGGTCCTTGCTGCTGGAGCTTGGGCAGCGGGAGTGGGGCCAGGACAGCTGCTGAGGCAGGATGGAGCTGGTGGGGGATGCAGGGGTGGACTGGCGCTCCCTGGTGACCTTGTACCAAAGCCCAAGCCCCAGTGGGTGGCAAGGCCCCAGCAGAAACTGGCTGGGAATGGGGCGCCTGGAAAGGTGAGGGTCGTCTGACCAGCAGCAGCAAGCCAGGGGGTCTGGGGCACAGGGAGCGCGTTTATTCAGCAGGACGGGGCGGCGGAGGCCGCCCGTGGGGGCTAGTCCTGGAAGCGGTTGAGCAGCTCGCAGGCCTGCTTCTCCAGCAGCTCCAAGATTTTCTTGACGCGCTTCTCGCTGGCGGCGCGGACGTAGCTGCTGGCGTCCAGCACGGCCACACCATCGCGCACCTCGCCCATGATGACCAGAGGCCCGTCGCCCGCCGTCATGTTGGGGCAGGGGCAGGCCCAGTCCATGCCACTCAGCGTCACCTCTAGGTACTTGGTGCCCAAGAACTTGAGGCCCATCTTGTCATCCTTGAGCACATCCTCGAGCGCCACGCGGGCGATGCCGCCGGCAGCCTCGGGCTCCTCCAGCACCTCCGTGAGCCGGCCCACGAT